TTGGAACGTTCATTTAAACCGAGCCTTTTAAAGACACTTAATTTCCTAAGTAATTTACGGCAGGAAATATCAAACTGTGGATATTGAAACATGAGACTTGGAGAAATAAATGTCTGTATGAGGACAGTCTACAATTCTGAGTACGGTATCCGTACCAAGGAAGAAACATCGGCCAATTTTGTCATGCAAGGAGTGATATTTTGTTTCTTCTCTTGTTTAATGAAGTTGCAATGATGGACACTATTAACAAAGGCACTCTGCTAAACGTGAACATGATTGGTCTAAAAGCAAACGTAGAGAAATTTACACATTCGCTCATGACATCATCATCATGTTCCTGGATTAGGCCATGCTTAGTCTGTTCCGTCCTCTTGAAGAGTATGTTGGTCCCTCCACCATAACAGTGGGCACCTTATGTTTCGTCGTCTTTTTAGGTTGTACGTTAAAGTTTTCCTCTGGATTCTTCTCTCTTTCATTAGTAGAATATGACATTTCCGCTGTGACGTAGTCTCTTGTATCAAATAATAGTAGGCTTATGAGATGACTATGATATTTGTCTGTGCATCCCCTCTCCTCATCAGCTTTTAAATGTTCGAGCCAATTTTTATGAAATTTGGTATGTATATCACGGCACCTGAACCCATCTCAACTGTGTACTTCGTACTGCCTCCCACCGTTCTGTCTGTACGTGTATCCCTACTATCGTTGGCAGGTAATAGCATGTGCTAAGCAACAGCTCGGTATATACGATCCCAAGACAAGAAATACAAGCAACAATAGAAGAATTACACACGTCATTTTCTAAACAATCATTGTCTTATCAGATGAGAGTCTGTGAATTTGTCTGTGTAACTCCATATCGTTGCTATTTAACAACTCGTTTAAGACATTCCTGCGGCAAACAAAAATTGTTGAAGGCTTAGTTTTCCATGGTGTCCGTGACGTATCAAAGTATAGTAGGCGACAAATTTTCCCCAGAAAGTCTTGTTTATGTTATGTTATGTATCTTGTCTGCGCACTTTCATGTTCTAACCCAGCGTTGCTTCTGCGCGGGAACTCGACACAACAGCTTGGAAGAGACCACGTCCGTTATTTCTCAATTCATAATAAAATACGCAATTGCTCATTAACCTGTCATCAATCACTGTCAATGGCCTTGCAGCTAAAGCGTGAAGTGGCAGGTCCAACAGCAGTCACTATGAACCGCTGCGTACTGAGCTGTGTCCTGCCATAATCCGTTCCCGAATTCCTATCTGAACTCTGAGGAGTGTTTTCCACTGATGACATCACCCTCGCACTATTAAGGCTAATGTCATGTTCTTACGTCTCTTTAGCATAGGAGAGTCTTCGCAGTGAATAATGGATATTAGCATTTCATTGAACAGCAAATTAACATAAAAATTTGCTCTTGAACTATCTTCTTTCCTTCTTGGCCCATTCTCTTATGTAGCTTTTCGTAAGTAGTACTGCGGTATACAATTAGTGTGTATGTTACGAATATGGTTACGGTTCCTTCTATGAGGGATTGGCATATGGTAAGGCTCACAGTGTAGACCTATGAGTTATGACACCGTGCATTCTGGAAGGTAGAAACTTTGAAGTTGGAGGAAGTATGTCCCTTCGAAACGTTTGTATCCACTTGCCAGAACTCATGTTGCCATAACTCAGAAGAACATAATTACTCTTCACAGCAGCGATGAACTCAAGTCTATACATTTATCTATGCGACGCAACACACAGTTATGTGATCAGAACCAGAAGAACTGAGGAATGGCCAACGGGATCGGCGTCCTGTCTGTCTATCAATCAATCAATCTATCTATCTATACATCTATCTGAGCGGCCTCCGTAGTCTAGGGGTAACGTTCCCACCTCATAATCAAGGTACGCGAGTTCAAACCTGAGAAGGTCGTGGAATTTTTAAGGGCGGAAAAATTCAGGGAACAAGTCCTCCGGGAGGGACTTTAACCGTGGGTCCCGTGTCGTAGATTTACGGCACGTAAAAGAACCTCATGTCTCTAGGAGACCTCGTCTTAGACAGCCGGTAGGACTCCTTGGACGGGTGATCAGCCCGTCGCAAGGTCGCTATCTACACAAACATAGAATACATGCAAACATCCATATCTGAGTCAGATTCGAACCCACGAACCCAGTGTTTGTGCGGGCGAAGACATTTCCTAACTTAGACCGCGCGGCCACTGTGACCGGCTCCTGGAGCGTACAACTCAGTAGAGAATCTGTAAGTCTTCATACAATAAATTTGAGCTTCACCATCTGGAGAGAATCATTATGATATGTGGAGAACTAGGCTTAACTGCCAGTTCTGTAAACTGTCTAGGTCTAGTCTGTTCAACTGTTATTCCTTTGGGCGCCCAAGATCCCTTCTGTATTCAAGTGTCTGCTTTCGTTCTCTGCTCCTTCCCTTTGTTGTGCCCATTTTCTGCACTTTGTGCTAAGGTGAATTAAGGTAGAGACAGAGCAACTGTGTGAATTGGAATATTCGATACGCCTAGTTTGCCTTCTCTTCATCAGCGTCACGCTCAGAAGTGGCTTTTGTATGAAGCGAAATGGCGGGTTTCACACACGCGCCATTTGGGATCGGAGCCTGTTTGCTGAGTGACTGCCCTCACAGGAATTACGTCATGAACTTGTAATTCATACGCAAATACATGTCTGTGGTGATGGAGGTACATGTTGGATTGAATCATAGCTTACAAGAGTTTCACACTCACAAACTGGGAAGCAAGAAATATGCTCTTATTTCTGATTTCCACCAAAATATTAATTGTTTTACATAATCTGTATCACAGCCATTGTATTTATGAGGTGCATGTTCTGTGGCTAGCGAAACTATACTACTTTCGAAATGACGAACCCGCAGGTAGATGCTACTGTGTCCGTACACAGGCGTAACTCAAACAAATGTGACAATTAAAATCATGGTAAAGCTTAGAATATACAGACGGTGCCTTAGAAAAGAGCTTCCGCCCACGAACAGTGGATATAAGGAATGAAGGACGAAGAAAATTACATATTAAAGAGTTCATAATTTGTCCTTTTCACATTATATTACGATCAAACTAACCAAGGACAATGAAGATTGGAGATGCATCTAGCATCAGAGATCAGAAATGTATATAAAATTCTAACCAGAAAACCTGAAAGGAAGAATTTAATGGAGACATAGGCGTGGATAAAAGTGTGTTAAGTGGATTCGTCTGGCTCAAGTTTCGTTCCAGTTGCTGCCTCTCATGAACGCGGCAATGAGACTCATGGCACCATAAAAGGAGGGAGGTGCTTCACAAACTGAGACGGGTTAGTTTTTCTTTCACGTGCCTTGCTGCCCGATCAATGTCATCTAGAGCGACCTACACTACGCAGCAGATTGGCATTAAAAGATGAACACCTATCAGCTGGAGGGCACAACTTAACGATATAGGAAGTCTTCGTGCAAACCTCACCTTTCGCCTGCTATTTGCGTCATTATCAAATCTCACGTGACTATCAAGTGATTTCTCTTCGGTAGCTAATGCAGAACACCAACACATGGGAAGGGTCAGCCACACTCTGTCCATAGTTTAGCGACTAACATTGCTTTAAAACTGGATGAAAACTTCGTCACATTAGTACCAGGGACAAAATGGTCTCTACAAAATGGAAAACCTGCAGTAGACTTACTGCTTAGGAGACCATATTTGAGGGGGGGAGTTTTCGAGTTGAAACTGATATATATGAAAAGTACCATAAGACGTGAAATAATGTTTTATAGAAATAAAATTGTTCTTATTCTTCTACCTTCACTGATTAGGTTCTCTGGCCTGTTCTCAATAAAAGTTAATTAATTCTGAAATTATAAATCTTGTAGACACTTGGTAGGATCCCTTGACCAAAATATCAGCCCGTCATAAGACAGGGCAACACATAGAAACACGCAGACGGATTTCCGTGTCATTTGAACCCAGTGCTTGATAGGTATACAGTATTTCGTGCCTTAGACGGCGCGCCCACTGTGATCAGCAAATATAAAATTTCCTCACATAAGCGTAAATTCATGAAAGAACAAACATATATTTCAACAGTATAAATCTGTTACGAATCTATGGAACAAACCTCGTTACTTTTAACTGAGTTTTAAAATGCATCCAGAAATAAAGATTAAAGATAGAGAAGGAGTTTCTTTCGATTTTGTTATTGCGCTTACAGGGACAATAAAACAAGTCTGAATTTGAGATATGACACAAGATTTCTTTTTTTATTTCTTTACTTACTTATTTATTTGTTTGAAGAATGCCGTCTTCTGGGATGCGGTGCCGTGTAGATCTTGTGTGAACCGACATTTCGGAGGAACGTATCTCCTCCATCTTCAGGGTAGGAAAATCCGCGAGTGAGGAACCAGCCTTNACGTTCCTCCGAAACGTCGGTTCACACAAGATCTACACGGCACCACACCCCAGAAGAGGGCATTCTTCTTTCTTTAACGTTTCCCCGTTAAAATGTTGTAAATATTTTCTATCGCTCTCTGCTGTTTTTCACTTGCGAGAGAAACTTATAATTTTCACCCCTCCCCAAATTCTAGATTATTACAGTGTACACTTCAAAATCTACTGTAGTATTTCAAAATCAATAAAGAATAAAAGAGACTAAGATATATTCGCGATGGTTAAACGGAATCTGTATGTTATTACTTACATAAATAATTATCTCTTGACACGGTCCTTATAAGAAGCCAGAGCTCATTATATTTATACACGTATCTTCATAGATACATATAATTATCTGACAAAGGAACTTTGGTCAGAGCTGCCAACCATTTGTCTGTAAACTTAATTTAAGAGAACAGCGTCGTCAAGATTAGCCATTACGGAAGCTACCCATCTGGCGGTGTAGACAGCAGTTAATGCAAAATAGGTATCCGTGTGTTATTCACAATAGAATATCATGAGTGTATTCTGGACTTACCCATCACGGGACATGCAGCAACAGCGTCCTGTCCACATTTTCTGCATTACTCACGGACGACCTGCAAACAACGAGAAACAGCTGCTGTAAGGTACTTGCTTCCCCGTCACAGAAGTAAGGTATCTGATTCCCCGTCACAGAAGTAACGTACTTGCTTCCCCGTCACACAAGTAAGGTATCTGCTTCCCCGTCACAGAAGTAAGGTATCTGCTTCCCCGTCACAGAAGTAACGTACTTGCTTCCCCGTCACAGAAGTAAGGTACATGCTTCCCACTCAGAGCAGCAAGTTACTGGCTTCTCCGTCACACAAGTAAGGTATCTGCTTCCCCGTCACAGAAGTAACGTACTTGCTTCTCAGTCACAGAAGTAAGGTACTTGCTTCCCAGTCACACAAGTAAGGTATCTGCTTCCCCGTCACAGAAGTAACGTACTTGCTTCTCAGTCACAGAAGTAAGGTACTTGCTTCTCCGTCACACAAGTAAGGTATCTGCTTCCCCGTCACAGAAGTAACGTACTTGCTTCTCAGTCACAGAAGTAAGGTACTTGCTTCCCAGTCACACAAGTAAGGTATCTGCTTCCCCGTCACAGAAGTAACGTACTTGCTTCTCAGTCACAGAAGTAAGGTACTTGCTTCTCCGTCACACAAGTAAGGTATCTGCTTCCCCGTCACAGAAGTAACGTACTTGCTTCTCAGTCACAGAAGTAAGGTACTTGCTTCCCAGTCACACAAGTAAGGTATCTGCTTTCCCGTCACAGAAGTAACGTACTTGCTTCTCAGTCACAGAAGTAAGATACTTGCTTCTCAGTCACAGAAGTAAGGTACTTGCTTCCCACTCAGAGCAGCAAGGTACTGGATTCTCAGTCACACAAGTAAGGTATCTGCTTCCCCGTCACAGAAGTAACGTACTTGCTTCTCAGTCACAGAAGTAAGATACTTGCTTCCCAGTCACAGAAGTAATGTATAGTCTAGAGCATAAAGATAAAAAAGGTAAAGCTATCCCTGTAAATGGCCGTGAAGGCCCGTAGGGATGTGAGACGTCGAGGCTCCCACATTTCCTCTAGAAAATCGGGTCACATATGGCGGTAAGGTTGTCAGCTTTACATGCCGGCCGCTCTTTTCCACCCAGGAAGATTCCTGGTATTCATTTCTGTTAGAGGCTGAGTCGCTCCCAAGGCCATAGTGGGCTGGAAGGATTAGGTGAAGTGAAAAGTCCAATAACATCAATGGGAATCGATGCCGCGACCTTTCGGCTTGTAGCACAGTGTCTTACAGTAGAGCATTCTTCAGTGAAACTCACAGGCTGACAGTGGACATGTAAACAACGCATTGTTAGAGTCGCGATGAATAACACACACATATTCTGTGGATGAATGAAAGAAAAACAAGAGGAATAAATAAGATTGAAAGAAATAGAAGAAAAAAGAAAGCGTGAAACGAAGATAATAATATAGGAAATAAGAGAAAGAGAGAAAGGGTAGAAGATATGAAGCAGTGAAGAAAGACGCAGCAGACAGACAGACAGCACGGTGTGTTCTTCATTACGAATATGCGTAAAAGCTTTTGTGAAAAGAAAAACTAGGAAGAAAGACCTAGTGACCATGAACTCGGACTTCGCATATCCGAAATTCATGGTACAGAAAGCCTTCAAGGTCTGCACATCGCTATTACATGATTCGGCATTATATCAGAAAGTTTAAAACAACAGTAGACAGAAGGAACTAGACGCCGTACTTTATTATTTAGCGGCGATAGTGACGCAAGCGACAAGTAAGACAGAAGGCAGCATATAATTCTGTTTTATTAACTCTATTTTTTTAATTGGCCACGGGAAACCCGAAGTCAACATGATTGACTATTTCCGTTAACGAGGATCAGACCGCGTTACGTCACCGCCTCCATCCTGCTGTCTGCTTCTGTTAGCAACAGAGCATTTCATTCCCTTAGTACTTAATGGAAAAAGATTATGGAAAGCGTCCGTTCGCTATCATGTTCCTGTCAATACTGATAGATTGCAATTGATTATTTATTATAATAATTGTTGGATATATATTACTGGTGACCAAATATCTATACCTGCTGAGAAATATTATGTTATTTTATAAATATGCGTCTTTTACTGTGGATATGTTGCCGAATAGGCCCGCAAATTCTATTACTCTGTGGAATAATGTAATAGTTTATTCATTAAAACTATCTTGTAGCTTACAAATAAAAATGGAAGTGTTACCCTCACAGAAACATTTTTTCTTTATTCCACTCACAAGTCTTAATGTCTTTATGCTATGGAAATAACATATCATGCACAGAATTCTTTGTTAAAATTAACAGTAGGTTTTATATAGAACTGATTCATTCATTCATCAATGGCTCTACAGCCCTTTGTTGGGCCCTGACCTCTTCTTCAGTTTCGTAACCTTTCTTTCACAGACGGTAGGACTCCTAGGACTAGTGATCAGCCCGTCGCAAGGCCGCTACTTACGCACAGTACAAACACAGAATAAACGCAAACAGACATCCATGCCTTTAATGGGATTCGAATCCACGATCCAAGCGTTAGAGGGAGCGAAGACAATTCATGTCTTAGACCGCGCGGACACTGTGATCGGCATATAGAACTGATACAAATATAAATTGCTGGACATCAAACCTAATTTAAGCCAGTTTTGTGGTATGGCTAGATCAAATTGAGTTTACATTGTCACGTTGCTAGAGATAGGTCTTTACACGGTTATATCTTTACCACAGTTGCTATGAAAATACATAAATATTACATGCTCACTGCCGTCACGGTCCAAATGATTTTGTTATGGGGGATAAGTGGCGGGGCAGAGATTGATTCTGACTCGAATCAACGATTGTAACAACAAAGTTATATATATATTTTTTTTTCGATTTCCCTTCCTTAAACCAGCAACATTTATTATGTACACAAATCCAATATCATTATTATTTTCCGAGACACACAGTGTGACGGGCGGAAGCTGTAAACTGCATCCATATAATCTGCGGACTTCGTACAAAATCCCTCTGCAAGTACATTTATTAAAATGTTATATAGAGTTTACGAGTAAAATGTTCAAGACAGCTATCACAGATCTGCAAATCTGTAATCAAGAAGATGCAGTTGGCCATTTTCTTAATCACCTTTCCATGAAGACATTCAGAGGAAGGGAGGTAGATGCCCATGCATTATTAATTTTGACCCAGACATGGCAAATTGGTGGGTAATACAGTCCTAATAAAGTTTATATTCAATCCAAAATCAAAGGTTCGTTTCAATAAACGCGCTGAAGTATTTAATTCAACTATCCGTAGTTACTTAATAATAAAAAGTGTTACAATAATTCAAGTGTAGTTTAAATTTAAAATAATTTATTTCCTCGGAGGTCTATGAGCCCATTATTTCTGTACATATTTGAGAATGACACATCCGATTGTTGACCCGCAGTGCCCTCCCTTCCGCTGATGACAAAAGACATAAATTACACATGTGGAATTCCTGTCCTCTTGCACACAGAACACAGAGTAACCAAGCAGCTCCACACATCGCAATGCGGATCTGCTATCTCGCTCCATCCAACCAACTGTTCGAGCTAATGCGAAATGGAACTTTAATTGAAGAAAGAGCGATAGGGTGGAGTAGTCGCGTGGACTACGTAGGCCCATTGGAATGCGTGGACATCCACCATCACACAGCTCTCTCTCTCTTTGCCTCTCAATGCTTCACACGTGTATATCCACACGACTATTCTCTTCTCTGTGATACTGTATTACTTTTCTCCAGGCTCTTTTTATAGTTCATCCTAGCAGCTGATGCCTGAAAGACCCTGTGTGGAGGCGGGTTCGAATACCTCCACCATGACCCTGCCATTCGTAGGAGGCGAGAAAAGGGAAGTCTCACATCTGAGACAGTAAAATATGGTCGGGAGTCCCAAGGAACTCGAACCCGAGAAAGACTGCGCTGGCAAATGCCAGCAGCATGTACAGAAGACAGAGCCGTCCTCTCGTCAGAGAGGGCGGCCCAAAAAAACAAGACCGTAAGTGTGAAACAGTAATAAATATCTGGTCATGAGCCCTAGATGGAGCTTGACACCAAGACTTACTGACTGACAGACCGTAAGTCGCAATGTGACTTGGACTTGACGCCTGAAACGTATTCAATCTTCCTACGCCGAACACGAGGTTCAGTCTCGAGGGTTGAGGTTTTCTTAGACAGCTCAGTGAAATTCATTACTGAATAGAGGTTCACGGGTTATTTAGTTACACTGTATCAACTGCTGACGACGAATCAGCTCAGACGAAGTCTGTGTGCGGGAAACAGAGAAGGCTTTGTCATGGGCTACTCGAAGATACGGCACTAGATAATACTTAAGAAAGTCATAGTCACTCGGTTAAGTAATTTTATGGAACCCAAAGGTTCATTACCGGATTCACAAGAGCCCGCCACTCGATAGCCCCTCGCCTTGTCTTCTGAAGACCCCTTTCAGACATAAGTCATCAGATACGAATATGACCGAAAGCAACGCGGTTTGTTTTCTTGTCACCTTCTTCTTCATCTTCATCTTTTACTGCCTCTTTTATTCTCCTGCTCATCATTTCTTCCAGTTCATCTTTTCATTTCCTTCTCTTTCTCCTTTCTTCCTTTTATTCTTTTCCTTTTTATCCTCTTCTACATTTATCGTCTCTTTTTTTCGCCCTCACTTTTTTATCAACTACCTCAAGATTTCTTTTTCTTCATTGTTCTCTTCCTCCATCTTCTTTTTCGCCCCGCCCTTCTTTTCTCTTCTGTTCTTCCTTTATTTTCTCATTCTCATCATGTGTCCTCGTATCCTTTCCGTTCTCTTCCGCCTTATTTCTTTTTCCTTCACCTCTGTCATATTCTCTTCTTCTTCCTGTCCTGAACTGCTCGACTGTGAGTTCAGAAAGCCACGCAGCTGTACATCATCAATGCAGACGTAGCAGATCTAGGCATGTGCAGTCCAATGATTTGTAGCGCTGAAACTTGCTTGCACTTAGCCAAGTAGTGGAGAAAGGAGAAGAATAAGAGAGAAAGAAAGATA